CTGGCCACGTTCCATATCAGTCTGTAAGTGAAAATGTCTGGTGCAGTAAACACAGACTGTTGATCAGCTTAAAAAATGTCAACAAGAATTGAATTGAAAAAATCAATAATGTCCTGAGATTTTTTTTTTTAATTTTTTTTTTTTTAAAAAGATAATGTTTTGAAAGTGTATATTAGGTATATTACAAATTGAACAGAATTGATTTTCATTGCATTAAAAACAGCCTTCTAGGAACTCTTTGCATTTATAAAAGCTAAAATTGTGCCACGGTGTTAAACGATGAATAATACTGTGCCCAGCAGGGGCATTATAAAAAAAAAAAACAACCCCATATCTGCACAGTGGTAGCACTTCTCACTTGGTGAAGCAAATGCCATCGCGTCCCACAATGCAGTGCGGCTGTGGCGTTATGTAAGAGGCTGTTCTGGTGTCTATTCTTAGCTCTACCTCAGTCAGAAGTAACAGTGGTGTTTGCCTGTGAGTGAAAAGGCACAGAAATGTGATGAGGCGGAGAATCACGGCTGTGGTGAGGCAGCAGAAGCCGCAGCACAGCAGCAGCTCAGCAGCAGCAGCAGCAGCAGCACAGCAGTGGGTCAGTCTGCCTCCAGGCTCCCACACTGGGACACGGCCACGGCGACGTGACCATATATGGTGCCGGGAGGAAGTAGAGGTGAATGGGTGGGGGTGTGAAGAAGAAGAAGAATAAGAAGGTGATTCTGTTTTAAATATAATATTTAAAGGCCTGTACTTTCCTAAAACAGAACAGTTCTGTCCTGCGTTTTTCACGGACGTCCCTTTTTTTTTTTTTTTTTTTTTTAAATTCAACTGCAGAACCGACTGCATCATATGGAGCAATGACGGACCGCTTCCATATTTTTATATATTTACATCCAGCTGTCGGTTTAATTCCCATCTGTCGTGTGTCCAGAATTCCTCTTGGTCCAGGTCCTCTAACTCTCCCAGATTTCGTCCTAATTGCTGCTCAATCCTATTATCACGAATTCCTGGAAATCTCTGCGGAGGCATAAAGGAAGGGGGGGGTCTTGTAAATCTCATGCTCTTGTCACGCAGTCGATGTGCTCGGGGTAGAGGGGTGGTTCTGGGTTTTTCTTTCGAGAATTTCAAACATTTGTTTGTTTATGTTATTGTTTATTTCTATACATTTTAAACCAAGGCATTTTTGTCAGTTTTTACACAAAAAATACAGGGAATTAGCTTGAATTAAGCTTAGCCTAGCATCTTTGTATCTATTGTTTGAGCTAGTTTTTTTTAAGGGTCAACCTTAAAGGGTCAATTTGGGTTGTTTTTTTTGTTTTTTTTTTGGTTTGAATTACCAGTAGAGGCTACAAAAACTTCAAACTGACACTTTGGTGATCCTAAAAAAAAAATGAGACTGTGATAGGACGTCCATCTTTTACATACAGTCAGTAGATACGGCCAACACCAGTCCAAGAAATCCAACTCCAAATGTTCCTTCTTTTATTATTATCATGGAAGCCTTTGAAAAGATTGTCAACGTTGCGATTTTGCACAGAATTATTTGGTCACTGTCGGATCATCAAAATAACAAAATACAAGATTAATTAGTGTGTGGCTGCTCACAACTGTCAAAGTGACATTAGCTTACAGTTAGACTCTACTGATATCATCACGCGTCATGAGGTCACTTTATTAAAACGTCATAGCTTATGATCCACTGCGTCAGACAGTCTGTTAAAAAAAAAAAATATCATCACGCGTCATGAGGTCACTTTTTGTAACGTTATAGCTCATGATCCACTGCGCTCCCCGAGCGTCAGGCAGTCTGTTAAAGAAAAATAACGCATCGTTTTAAAAATGAAAAATTATGCGGATTGTCAACTTGCATCAGTTTACTTTTCCAGCTCAGAGCGCAGACCCACGTCACTTTCCTGTTTGTTTTGCCAAGAAAAGCCAGCAGGGCGAGTCTTTGTGACGCTCCGGAGTTTGTAACTTTGTTTGCAGTGCGAGAGGCAGACGGACAGGCGATCCGTCTGTAGCTTCAGTCACAACAGGCAGAGCTGCCAGTGCGTGCTTGTCAGGGCTGGATGAAGGACAAAGAGCCTCAGGGTGATTGGATGGTTTGACCAGTTCTTGTGTTAGAACTGCAGACATGTCTCAAATAGATTATTTGTCCTCATATTTATCTAGATATCGTAACCCGTTTTTTTTTTTTTTTGTCCCTTCAACGTCGGAAACATGCAGTCACCTTAAGTAAAGAAAAAACACCTTTTTGACTCGGAGCTGGAAAAAAAAACAAATATTTGAATCCTCTTGTATTTTAAAATGCATCTCAAACAGATGCATAGCATCGTTGTTTTCTTTGACAGATCAAATATTTAGCTAAATGAATGTGCTCATTTTTTTTGGTCAGACTTTACGCTTCAACTCCCAAGATATTTCAAAGTGAAAATTCATACTTTTTGCTTTATTAAATTTCCTTTTTATCAAAGCAATCATCAAATAATGAGAGGTAAAAGCGGATGCCCCCAAAGCACACCAATCAGGGCTCAGCACGCTAGCCGCTGTGAACTCCGCTGGTCTTTTTTGGGTGAACTTTTTGAAATAGAACAAAGTAAGGACTCATTTTATTTTAAGTCTCCTCTCTGCCTCCCTCAGTACGATACAGTTTCCGGTTTCCAGAATTCACCCTGCATTTTAAAGAAACACATGGAGGTTGTTTTTCCTTCCCTTATGTTTGATGACCAGTAACTAGTGTTACCTACATAGTCTGCATTGTGTAGTTGGCTAAATTAGTTAGCTGACAGCTGTACACTAACATAGCTCACCAGGGTAACTAGACGTCCTGTTTTCCCCCTCAGACATGTTTTTTTTTTTCTAGGCTTGGAAATTGCGTCCGGTCAGGATTTTAGAGTCTTCCATCGCAGTTCTCCTCTCAAACTAGTTAGGCTACTATCTTACTGGCCTGTTCACTTGCATTTGGGCTGATGGATCAAACTGAATTCGCAAAATTATTCGAAAATGATCTTTCTTCAATTCCTGCCACTATATCATTGTTCTCTTCGACTAAACAGGACAAGATTTGAATCAATTATGAGCTCATTTAAACTAGAAGGTAATTACATTTTATTACATGAATTTTTTGTGAGATTTTTTGTTTCGTGTTGATATATGTGCCGTGGCTCAAAAAAGATTGGGAAACAATGCTCTAAAAGTCCTGTTTTTGATTTTATATTTATCTCGATACATTGGTAGGAGACACTCAATGTTTTGTGATTATGACCTTCTTGATGAACACGTAGTATTTTCACTCAGCAGGGGGTTTGATGGGAAGAAAATAAAAGGCCATTAGAACCGTATTTCATCGAGGTACTACTACGAGAGTTGAATTTTTTTCCTTTCACACCTCATTTTAACCCGCCCAAAGACTCACTTTAGTCACTAAGTCATCAAATCTTTGCGATTTAATCGTCATTAGTCCCTGTCACCAAATCTGGTGGAAATGTGGTTCATTAGTGCGGGGTTTTCGAGCTTTCGCATTAGCACGTTCATGGAGTGGATGGTGCTTCAGCGCCTCACATACTGTATTATCACACAGACCGTGGAATGAACCCTCTCACTCACAACCAATCTCACACAAACGTTTTTTTTATTTTTAATCTGTCAAATCACATAAGCCACTAAAAAGCACCACCGTTACATTACATCAGGTCACCAGAGCTCAGGGGCGCCGTCTCAAAAACCCCATGTCACCCATGACTGTCGGACATGAAGTGAAAATGAAAACTCCATCTTTTTTGTTTTTTTCTGGTTTCATTTTCAAAAGTGTCCAGAAATGTACATTTTTTAAGTTCCGCTGTAGACATTCTAATACAAATATTTTCATATTTTCATCCTACACTCGGAGGGATGTTGAACAGACATGAGTATGTACGTTAACTCCAGGCTAGTCTGGGTGTTTCGTCTATCTAAACTATGAGTGTTATGATGGGATCCACTGCTCTAGTGTTGCTGAAGGGCCCAACTTCCAACCACACCAAGTACAAATATTGGACACGCCCTCAGGCATATGATTATGAACTCATACATAACGTTTAATGCCACATCATAAAACACTATCTCACATCTACGTCAATTCTAATGCCACATCATAAAACACTATCTCACGTCTACGTCAGGTGTTTACCTTTGAATTATAGCATCACCTAAAAGTCCTAGCTCCCGCTCGTTCTAACTAGCGGTGGTGGATTTGGTTCTTCGTAGTGACCTGGGTCACTTGAGTCAATTCATTCAGTGTTCTGACTCAAGAAGAAGAAGATCCATCTTGTTTAACATTAGGGACATTTTCAGAAAACAACCTCAACTTTGACATTGATAACCACAAAGATAAAAAAAAACCGCTGTAAGGACTCTTGTCTGTTATATAATACTCCTAACAATAATACAACTAGAATTTGTCGTTGTTTTGTCACTGGTTACCCACTACTAACAAATGTAATATTTATCATCATCGTTATCATCAATACTACAATACTCCTTCTTCCCTAGTATCCAATACTGTATTTACAGTCCCATCCAGAACATAATATAATCAAAGGTGGAAATTAATGAATTACATTTACTCATGTTACTGTAATTGAGTAGTTCTTGTGAGTAATATGTACTTTTTTTTAAGTAGTTTTGGACTAGGTAATTTCACTTTTACTTAAGTACACTCAAGTATTTTACTTCACGACATTGGAAAATAACTAATTACTGAGTAATTACCGAGCTTGGATTGGTTTGAATTTTTGATTAAACACAACTATTTGCAGACTGGATTGGTGACTCGTCCCCTTCTCGCATCAAGTAACTCAAAGTAACTAAGTAACTATTACTCAAGTGGATTTTTAGATTGATACTTTTACTTGATTACAATTCAAGCAAGTAAAGATACTTTTACTTCATTACTTCTTTTTCCTCTTTTTCCACCTCTGAAAGTAATCGTAACCACCACAACTTTTGTCTTCTGTTCTGTGCAGACTTCAGTGACCAGCTCCTGGAGGTGGTGGGTCTGGAAGGAGCCATAGAAATGGGTCAGATCTACACTGGACTGAAGAGCGCAGGCCGCCGGCTGGCTCAGTGTGCCAGTGTCACCATCAGGTCTGGACGTCCCTCTTACATCACCTCACCCTCTCTCCCCCCCCGATCTGTGCTTCTGTGTTTCCCACCATCGTCCCTCTGACTGTTTTCACCACTGTTCTCTACCAGCGCTATCAAATATGTATTCATGCATCTCCAGGCTGAGACCCACCACGGTCTCCAAACAACAACACGTATGTTCCCAGTGAATTATTGACAGCAGGTCAATGTCACGCTCCGGTGGAGTGAAGCGGAGAAATGACTCACGAGCGCCGGGTGACGTCCGTATCTGGGGAAAAAAAAAAATATCAGAGTGAATTCCACTCTCAAACCTGAGTTTTTAAGCTGCTTGTTTGGTTTTTTCTTACTAAGAAAATGCCTTTTTATTCCGTTCGTCATCTCTTTGGTCTTTATAACGTCAGCACGACAAAACTGAATGTTGAAATAGGTTCTATTGGACGCTTTTCATGTTGAAGTAGCGCTGTTTGGACAAATGTGCGAGAATCGCACTTCAAGATAATGGAGGTGCTCTTTAAAGAGCAGCAGTCACTTCGCACGCCAGTGGTTCAAACATTGGAAAATTTTGTAAAAATAGATGTCCATAACTATTATTATTATTATTAGAAAAAACACAAGTTAATGTGATTTTTTTTTTTTTTTTTACTTATTTACCAGTTAAACTAATATTTTCAGGAGTTCCCTTTAAGGAATCTAGGAGGTTATGTTATGTATATATAAACGTATATTGTAATTTTTCAACAAATGCCATACATTCAGTATATATTATATACATATATATATATATTATGTATAATATTAAAATATAATATAAAAGATATAATATATACTGAATGTTACAATCTGAATTCCGTCACATTAAACTTCATCATGTGACTTTTATAATCTGCCCTGTCACTGGCTCATTTTCTGTAGCCACAGATGCCTGCGTTAGGGACCTAAACCAACTCAGACCGTGTATGTGTGTGCGTTCGCGTACAGTTTGTGTGTGTGTGTATACAGTAAACGTGTGTGTGTGTACACTGAGTTGTTTAAAGAGCCGGGGGGGGGGGGGTCTGTCTGGGAACTGGTCCCATGGGAACAAAAGCCCCAGTGTGTGCAGCTCAGCGCAGCGACAGTGTGAACAGGCCTGTCGTGCCTCTGACATATCTGTGTGTGTGTGATCTGACCTCCGACACCTGCGACCCCGCCCCTCCAGCCCGATCACCCCTCTCTCTCTCTCTCTCTCTCTTATTTCCGTCCCCAACAGGACGTCCCGGCGGCTGCCCATGCAGATAGACGGTGAGCCGTGGATGCAGCCTCCCTGCACGGTGAGACTGAAAACACTGAGTGAAACACCTCCGTGCACCTGACACCTGTGCACTGTGACACGCACCAACACAGAGTTCTGGTGACTTTGTATGAGCCCAGAAAGACAGAGTAACAAGCTACTGTGAGTGTGTGTCTGTGTGTATGTGTGTGTGTGTGTGTGTGTGTTGAACACACAGTTTTCTTGCCTAAGGGGGGTTTGTGCCCTGTTGTAACCCCGGGAGCTAGTGTTTTTAATGGCAGCAGAAAATAAAAGTGCAGTCAGTGTGAGAGAGGAGGCAGCTGTAAACCTGATTTATGGCTCCTTGATGTTCCTGCACTTGTGCTCCTGCCTGGTGGAGAGCAGCCAGACACAGAGTCCTGGGACGTGATAGATAGAAAGATAGATAGATAGATGGATGGATGGATGGGTAGATGGATGGATGGATGAATAGATGGATGAATAGATGGATGAATAGATGGATGAATAGATGGATGGATTGATGGATAAATAGATGGATGGATGAATAGATGGATGGATGGATGATAGATAGATAGATGGATGTATGGATGGATAGATGGATGGATGAATAGATGGATGAATAGATGGATGGATTGATGGATAAATAGATGGATGGATGAATAGATGGATGGATTGATGGATAAATAGATGGATGGATGGATAGAGAGATGGATAGATAGATAGATGGATGGAAGGAGGGATGGATGGATAGAGAGATGGATAGATAGATAGATGGATAGATGGATGGATAGATAGATGGATAGATGGATGGATAGATAGATAGATGGATGTATGGATGGATAGATGGATGGATGGATGGGTAGATGGATGGATGGATGAATAGATGGATGAATAGATGGATGAATAGATGGATGGATGATGGATAGATATCATTTTATTAATCCCTCAGGAGTTCCCTTTAAGAAATCTAGGAGGTTATGTTATGTATATATAAACATATATTGTCATTTTTGAACAAATGCTATACATTCAGTATATATTATATACATATATATATATAATGTGTATAGTATTAAAATATAATATAAAAGATATAATATATACTGAATGTTAAAATTGAGTTGTGCTGAAAGCAATGGTTTAAAATGTAATGTATAACATGTACAAAATATATAAAATATATATGATGTATAGTTCAAATACTATATAAAATATCTGCACAACATTATATATGTATAATATGTGAATATGATATACAATATGTACAAATGAAATTAGGAACAGTGTCAAAAAGACTGTGTACAAACAGAAGTCAAATCCTACCAACAGTATTGAACAGCGCTGTACAGTTCATTCAGAGAGTTCTTCTAGAATTAAAAGTCACCAACGAACATTGGGGACATTTTCGGGGACATTTCCAAAGGTAGCGATGTGAATAATTTAGTTTTTTTTTCATCTTCGATTTTGAATTTGGGTCCTACATATTTTTTTTTGGCAGTTTAAAAGGGTTGGTTAAGAGTAGGGTTTACTGCTGCTGCGAGTCTGGGGGCTGCTAGTCCGACTCCCCTCACCTCGCTTCACTGACTTACTGGGATTTCAAATCAGAACGAACCAATTTGAATACGGTGTAATCCAGTTAGCTGAACATTGAAATGAGGTGCGGCTGGATTCCACGTTTTTCCCGAGCATTGGCTTTTCACATTTGTCTTTGAGAGCCACTGAAGTTTTATTTTACTCAGATTTCACAGTTCAGTTTTTGGCTGATTTTCCAGCTCCTTTTGTTCCTTTTCCTTCTCTACACTCCCACGGACTCAACCTCCTACACCTTCGTACAGTCAAAAACCACGGCCTGGCTGCGTTCGTCTTTTCAAAAGAAGAAACAAACCGTTGTCTTTTCACCCTCGTAGCGTTTTTTTTAAAGTCTTTCTCACATCATTTTCAATGTGGTCACAGTGCAACCATCGTTGAGGCGGAGGAGGAGGAGACGTAGCTTTTTGGCTGCGTTACGTGGGTTGTGTGCAAGGTTGCGCTGCACAGGAAGGAAAAAAAAAACAAAACAAAAAAACAGGAAATGTTTCTGAGAAATAACCAACTAAACTTTTTCTTTTTCTTCCTCTGATTCCTCCAGATCCGGATCACTCACAAGAACCAGGTTCCCATTTTACTGGGTCCTCCTCAGAAAACGCCCTTCTTTTTCTTCAAGAAACGCAACAGGAGCTGCGACTAAGGAGACAACGGACACAAGGGGAACCCAACAACAACAAAAAAAAACAAAACAAAAAAAAACACAAAAACTTCAAGTACAAATATGCAGACACACCGCTCTTGGCAGCTCCAACAGAGATACATCCTAGAGTTGGGGTTTTGTTCCCAGCCTCAGTGATGGCGTACTCCAGGATTCGACCAATAAACAGTGAAGTGACTGAGGGAACTTCAAAGAAAAGGCCAAAAAAAAACTGAAAAAAAAAAATCGGGTTTTAGAAAAAACTACCAACACTAGATGAACAATCGGAGAATCTACAAAAACAAAAACACTACGTCGAACCAGAGGGAACGATTTCAGTGACAGAAGAACGTACGGACGTTCACTTCACACCGATGATACGACTAGCGGGAGAGGAGAGGGCGAGGAAGAGGAGGGAGAAGAATCATCCGTTATTGACTTTTTTTTTTTTTTGATGGGGCAAAAATCAGTGGAGTGGTTAAAGACGTGGTTCCAGTCCCCTTAGACTGATGGAGTCTGCTCCCAACCGCAGGCCAGATTACCCAGAAAACACCGAGTGACCGTAAAAACCTTCAGCCCCTCATTACTACCGTCGGACTCTTCCACCGAGGATCGAAAAATAAACCCAGTGGAGCCGTGGAGAGTGGCGAGACCCCCTCCTCCCCCTGTGGTTTTTATTTACCAGAGCAGTGACAGGCGTGCACTAAATTTATCCCGTTTCCTGCAGCGAAACCCTGCACCTAATTACTGTGTCAGACATCAGCTCAGTGTCAAGTGCGCAACATGCTGTCAAGGTACAAAAAAAAAGAAAAAGAAAAAGCCCTCCCCTCACCCGACGGGGCCGGGGTAACCATCAGGAATGGACAGACACGGGATGGACAAACGTCAGGGCGGGAAGAGGGTTTTTCGGTTCAAAGATGGCGGAATGTCGAATGTTCCGACGCCAGGAGACCCGTCGCGTGTTTTAATCAAGAATGTATCCACGTTACGAACTGTATCATACAGCATCAGACGGAACACATATACATATGTACTCTATGCAGATGTATGCATACAGTATATATATATATATATATTTATATATATATATTCCTGGACGTAGGTATAGCTCACATATGCTGTGTCTTTAAAAACAAAACACATTTGTGATTATTACGATTATGAATAATTAGATTAATACTGTGGATCTTTTAGATCAGAGGGGTTCAGCTCAGTGTCTCTCTTCCTCCTACCATATTACGAAAAACGTGGCTCTACGTCACAGGGCCGACCGTTTGTAGAATCAACTTGTAGCACAAGTCGGACGTCGGCGCGAAAAAACGCCGCCACCGATCCAGCTGGAATGTAGCTGGATGTGGCGACCGATCGGGACCGGAGCGAAGCTGTGACGGCGCCGGGCTCCTTTGTACCTTCTGCGTTCCTGGTCCACTCCATCACGGGGGTCACGTAGGGTATTTGTGGCGGCGGTGCCGTCCACGCTCAAAATAAATCGAAATTCCACACGTGCCTCGTCGTCACAGCTGCATCTGAGGAAGGAACGATCTTTCGGTTTCGCGAAAAGCGAACACAACAAAGTAGAAAGTCAAACCACTGTGGATTTTGCGGGTCGCCGCTTTTACGCAATTGGATCGTTATTTTTTTCTAACGCGTCGTTTGAGTTAGGCCCTAATATAACACTGCCCAATCACGTTCTTCTGGGTGGATGATGTCATCTCCATCTCCCACCGACCACGGCTCTGTGGACTCACGGACGCAGAACGCACGAATCCAGCCTGAACGGGTTTTAGGCTTTGACGTCTCTAGACCCTGACTCCCTTTAAAACCTGCTGACTCTCACCCACCCCCCCGGGGCCCCGTGGACACCCCCTCCTCCCACACACTACACCCTGCGCCCCCCCCCACTCTGACATGACAACAGGGACTCACGTCAGACTTACGTCAGAATTCTGTTCTTACGGTGCGACGTTACTCGATTTTCGTAAGTTGGAACTCACTGTGCTGTACATAAATACCTGTGTCACTCGTCTACGCTAGCACGGCGCTAACATCGTAATCTAGAACAGGGGTGTCAAACATACGGCCCGTGGGCCAGATCCGGCCCACTTGGGTGTTCGATTCGGCCCACTTGATGAATTTTCAAAACAAAAATTCTACACAAACACTTCATGTTCATGAGGTTTTTTGTACAAAATATTATTATTTCATGAAATATGAATAATGAATCCAAATAAATATCTTATATACTTGCACTTCTTTGCATGAAAACGGGGCCTTGTTTGTTATTGTAAGTTATCATTTTTTTATGGTGAGATTGTACTGGTCCGGCCCACTTGAAATCGACTGTAATTACGTGTCCCCTGAACCAATGAATGAGTTTGACACCCCTGGTCTAGGACATCAAAACATCAGAAGAGTCCAACTTACGCCCTGGAGCCATATTGAAAGGCAAAAAAAAAGGCAAAAAAGAAAGCAAATGTAGCACAATCCAATGTATGGCGTTTTAACCGACGCGGAATTTGTTTAGTTGCCGTACGTCAAAATAATAAACGTAGGAGACGGCAACGTAACCACGAAACACCGTAGGTCGAGGACGTCGCAAACCGAGGACCTCCTGTGTTAGACTCCACATACTGCATACTACCGCCTCACCTGGGACCTAGTGTAGTCCAGGTTTGTTTTACTTCATTTTACAAAAGTATTATTGATGTAATACAAACAACAAAAACGCTGTGGGATCAAAAGACAAAAATTAAAAAAAAAATAAAACCAGTATGATAAAGCAGAACACCTCAGTCAGTCCATGCTGGAGCCTGGGTGTCCAGAGAACTCAGCAGTAAAAAAAAAATTAAAAAAAAAAAAAACAAAAACCGAGTGCATGTTTACAGAACCTTTACATTTACTGAAGGAATGTTTTTTTTTTTCCACAGCCTGGAGTGTACATATCTGTTGTATGTATGTATGATATTTTATCTGAAGGTAACGTGCATCGCCGCATGCCTGCTGAAACAAAAGAAAAGTGAACAAAAAAAAGAAAAGAAATAGGGTGCATACAATCTATTCAGACCTTCACAAGCTTAAAGGGACAGTTCAGCCGAAATAAAATGTAAAAAAAAAAAAAAAAAAAAAAACTCAATCGCCGCCATGATAACTAGATTAAGAGCACTGCCCTTTCTGTGGTGAACTGTCCCTTTAAGCCCCTTTTTTTATTTATTTGGTATTTTCTTTTACTTTCAATATAATTTTTTTCGGAGGGATTGGGGGGAAAAGAGGGTTTGAAGAAACTTGGAAAATGAAAAAAGAATTCTTACAGAAATATTCTGGTACTATACTGTAGATGATGCACCATCCTTACACACACACACACACACACACGCACAGAACTCTTTCCTGTTCTGTAAAACTGTAAACGAATCAACTGCCTTAACAAATAAATGTTGCTCCATGCTCGTGCCCAAGGCTCCACATGCACACAGACAGTCGTCGGGAGATAAAATGAAATTTACCCAAGGTAAACACTGGGTTTAAACGGTCCCACCCCCGATTAACAAAATATAGATTTAAACTGGGGCTGTCAAACATACAGCCCGTGGGCCATAACTGGCCCGCCCGCAGGTTCAATCCGGCCAAAATGAAGGTGATGTTTTGTCAAATTATATTCCGTTAAATATGAAAATGTATCGTGGTAGTTGCGTTCCAAGGCCCATCGCGAAATGGGAAAAATTGCGAAGTACAGGCAAGATAGTTAATATATTATTTACGTATATATTTACCCTTTCGCACGCAATTATATCCACAGTAGAGTTGAATAATGGCGACGCAGAGCGAAGTGAACGACTCAGTTAGCCAATAGTACACCGAGTCCACATTGTATTAGCCAATAGTATTCTGTGTACGATGTGTCGCTCGGAATCTACATTTTGAAAGCCAAAGGTTTCCTATGTGTAATTATTTTGTATTGTCTTTTAGTTTATTTTTTTGCTATATTTTGGGAGATCGGATTTTTTTAAAAATTTGCGATGTACTGAGGGAACGAAAGGAGAACTGCGATATAGAGAGGGGACACTGTATACTGTATACTGGTCTAAACATTTAGGTTTGTTTTGTTTTTTTTAAATCAACAATTCTCAGAAAATTAAGAACCTGAGAATTGTTTGAATTGAACAGTAAAGAACAGGAATGTACCTCAGTGCAGAGCTGCTGTTAAAAAAAAATCCAGAGAAGAAGAAACCAGGTCAAGTGATTGGTAGTGTTATAGACTACCTCAGTGTTAAAGCAGACTGATTACTGTCAGTGATACATTTAAAAAACATGGCTGGATCAATTTTTTTTTTTTTCAAGGTGCATGTCTTTCCTCCAGTAAAAACATCCAAATCCGTGAACTCCACCGTATTATGGTTTCGGACATGTCTGAAAAGTGATGGGTGACGTGAGGAATATTCAACCGCCACATGAAACCAACATGCTAGATGGTGCTGAATTCTATGCACTGTACCTTTAAGTCAATGCAGCAGCAGAGAGAGTTGTGCATGGTTAGCCATTTTAAGCTGCAAAGTTTATGGTGTGAGTAGTGGATTCTAACAGCTGTGGAATAAAAGCTACTGCAAAGTTGTAAAATCCATACGTTTTCCTTCGAATTAGTCCCGAGCGGCTGTTAGCAGAAGAAGAAAAAAGGGCCCCCGTTGGTCGTTTCTCCACTCAGCCCCGTGGTGATGGTTCTATGAAATGTCAGATTCCATTTGAGAACTGAGCAGAAAAATGAGGTGGAGAGTGAGTAATAGTTCCTGCTCCTGCATGTCTTTCTGCTGTTGTGAACACCTGCAGCTCTTCATGTGTGCAGTAAACAGAGGAGAAAATGTCCAGACTCAGATTTCTACCTAGAGTTCATGTTCAGTAATGGGAATAGCACAGGTCAGGCAGTAGGGTTGCGGGTTTGATTTCCCCCTTGGTAGGTTACGTGTATACCAACCTGCGTAGTACTGTATTAGTACAGACCTCAAACCCTAAACATTTCTGATAATATCGGTCGGTTGATATTAGCATGATGATGTAATAACAAAAATAATTTTGTTTTGCACAGACAATGCTAATGCCTTTAGTGGGGCGTCGCAACAAAAGTCGCTAATGTGTTATATCCACGACAGGTGATGTTACCTAAAAATTGTTTTGGGGAAAGACAGCGGCTTGATCAATATCGGTTGATATCGGAATTGGAAATTTCCGATAATATCGCCCTACTAATATTATCGGTCCGATATTAGCATATCAGTAGGAATTGTTATCGATTTTTCCTTCAATAATGTAAACCCGATAACGCAATGTCTGGGTTTAGCCAAATATGCTGGAATCACTTTAGGTTTTGGGTTTAGCCAAATATGCTGGAATCGCTTTAGATTTTGTTTTGTACAGACGATGCTAATTTGTGAAATGCCTTTAGTGGGACATCGCAATCAAAGTCGCTAATGTGTTATATCCACAACAGGAGATATGTGATGTTACCTAAAAATAGTTTACGGGGGAAACAGCGGCATGTATCGGTATGGGTTGATATCGGAATCAGAAATAAAGTGTTTGGACGATATCGGATATCGGTGTTTTAGCTGCCTTTTTCTTAGACATTGAATTTTTTTCCGTCTTTGTGAAAAAGATGTGGGAGAAACTTTCTGTTGCAGGGTCAAATTTTTAGCAATTCATATCTATTTATACTGCGTCTTCTTCCCGGTATCGTACTCCCAACTCTGTTTCATGTGAGGGCAGTGGTGTTTGGGTTCCAGCCCCCTCCATTTTTTTCTTTGTTATTGTGGTCCAAACAGTCGTAGTTTAGTCTCGTGTGACTCTGAGATGATTCGGTTTTTCTGTAGTGAGTCAATACATTTTCGACACATAAAATCTGGTCTATTTATTCAAGTGCAGATTTGGAAGTGGTCTAAGTGGGTGGTTCCAATCCCACGGACAGTCAAGGAAAATGTCCTGTCGCTCTTTGCGGTACACCCCCATCGCTGCTTTTCATTTTATTGGTACATTTAGTCTCTCAGTCCTGGTTCGTCCAGAACATTCTCCCTCTGCACGCTGTCGGTTCGACTGGTTTTCACACATCTGTAGTGTATTGTTATCGAAGGCGTGTTTTCCTACGACACGAGCGGCTCGAACAACACCGATCCTCGGGTGATTCTTCCTTTGGCCTTTTCTACGACTGCCTCCACTGCTAAGATAACAAGGCAGGAATTATCTTCACAAGTGCTATTAATAGCAGGCGAGTCACATCTTGTCCCTCAGAGAGATAGCATCCTGCACCCCAGGCAAGACTTTTCTTTTTCATAGTTGTTTTTTTTTTTTTTTTTTTTCTTTTATGTGTTTGACAGGCGTGTACACGCAGGAACAGACTGTCCAGACGCTCACTTACTACCATTATCCCAGTATCTCAGCTACTGATGGCTGTTGATTTAGCTGTGGCTACTTTAATGATTAGGTTACCGTCGGGAGAAGGAGGAGAGTTGACTTTTGCATTTTTTTGATTTTAAAGGGCCAAGAAAAAAATAAACAAATATAAAAAAAAACCCATCAGAATTCAGATGAATTCAACGACACAACGCTGTATTTGAGCTTGGGGTGTCCACATTTTCTCATTTACTCATATAAACTGAATGTTGTTACTGATTTAGATCCTGAGATTTCACCTAAACTTGTCTATATTTTGAATTCATATTTTAAAAATAATTGAATTTGAGGTACAATGGTCGACCGTGTACGCAGCAGAATCTGTTGTTTATTGGTATAAAATTAACAAAGGGGAAAAATACTTCATTTTGTACCTTACCTTATTTCTCAAAAATCAAAAATAAAATATATTCTAGACAATTCAAAGGCGTGTTCCGCCACTTCCAAACCTGTACTGGTGACAGTGTGTCTTAAGATGGACGCTGTGTCCTCGTTAGGGAGACAATGGCCAGTAAGTAGGACAGTGTGGCCTCAGTGATGGGGCGATGTGCGGAGGACAGTAAGACATTCCTGTGACTGGGGACGTTGACAGTGTTGACCTTTTCAGTTAATTATCCTATATATTTACTGTAGCTGTCTGTGTTCCATAGCGTAGCCGCTAGCAAGCCTGCCTTCCCCGAAGAACCACATTTGTGTCCCACGGAAGCTATTCGGCGAGAGGACAAATACGTCGTCTCAGGGCTCTGTTTACATTTCTAAATAAATGTGTATATATATGTCTATATATATAGACATATATATGTATATATGTGTATATATGTGTGTGTATATATATACTGTATACACATGTAAGCATGTACATATGTACACATACATGTAATCCAGCCAAGCCACAGATCAGTGTTGAAATAATGCGATTATGTGTTTTACTCCATAGGCCCCTCAAATATACTTAATACGTTGGATATTTTCCCTCTGAGCTGCTTGCACGTAACAGTCCCAACCATCGGTTGCAGCTTTCCGTAAAGTCATTAATGACTGCGAACAACGCTCTAAAGGGGAAGTCCGTGTTTTTACACTTCAAAGTCAGTTTGAAAAGAAAAAAATGAGCGTGAATCAAAGACTTCTGGAGCAGGCTCATCTTCATCTTTCTTTCTTCTTCTTCTCATCTGACTTCATTCTTTGCTGTCGTTCCAGATTCATAAATGATCTTTGATCCTGAAAGTTGGCATTCTCAAGGAATCAGACAAATAAAAAAAAAACGAACGATTTGGCCACAGACTAATGGAAGTGTCGGAAATCATTCTGAACGCAGCGATCGCCCCGAGTCCCCCTAGAAACCTGTCTGAACGTGAAGCATCAGCTTCTTCATCTGTGCACGTCAAATGTAGGCGTCGATGTCAACGGAGAAACAAAATATTACAATAATGCCCTTTTAATCACCTCCAACTCCATCTACTGTGGGAACATGACCCAGAAAACACTTTTGAAAAAACAAAAACCTGCACTACCCCTTTAATGTTATCACAGGTGAGCTCAGGATACGACTTTATTGAGGCTCAGGGTTGAAATTAATAAGCAGCTCAGTAGTTAAAAAACAAATGGTTGTTAAATTTAGCTTCACCTTTAGCAGCTGCGGCATTAAAGTGACAGAAATGAATAAGTAGAAACAGATACTGGTGCATTTGTCCCTTTACTTAACTACCTGCATTTAATATCTCCATAAAATGTTATTCATTACACTGTTTACTTTCTCTTTGGGTTTTTTTTTTTTACCACTGAAAGTAACAAAGGTGGCCATTGTCAGACTCATTCACAAGTTTTGGCCCTTTTTGTCGCGCTTATTCACAGAAACACGTTGAAATGATTGATAAAATTAAAGTCCAGAACTGGTTCATACTGGTTTGTACTGTAGGGACTACATGCAAAAATGCCCTTGAAAGTCATACTAAGGCTTTTAGTGGTCACATAAAAATGTGAAATGGAAAAAATAAGATGGAATATCTAATAAAGTTAGTAAATAATAACTAAAATTTAACCAGAAACTAACCCCTGGGCATAAACCAGGCATGGGCAAACTAAGGCCCGGGGGCCAGACGTGGCCCGTTCAGCTTCTTAACCCGCCCACCAAACTTTTCCAAATTCTATAATTTATTTATATTATCATTATCCAGTCTTTATTATACCCTGCAATAACCACGTTTCCCCAATAGATGGGGTAGACAATAATAAAAGCATTTTAGCCTTTATGCATGACTTTCACATGTCATATATTAAAGCTTCATTTACAGTAAATTATACTTAGAAATAGCTTGAGCGAAAGCTACGAGTTAGCCTAGCATAAACTACACTTTGACCACAAATGTCAAAGGTGGCCAGAAGAAGCCCTAAGCACAGAAATAGCTAATCGTTACCATAAGTTACCATTATTTAGCTCAGCAGTCCTCGACCAGTAATACCACGCCATCGTTGAAGGATCATTAAATTTTCCAAATAAAACATCTTACAGACTTATCCTGTACCCTTTAAGTAAAGGGATATGACTGGATTCTTTTGTAATGAAGTGAATTAGTAAAACTGAAGTATATTTTCTCACTGTGTCCCACTGCGGCCCCATACCAAATGACCTATGGACCGGGACCAGTCCCCAGCCCCATACCAAATGACCTATGGACTGGGACCAGTCCCTGTACCAGGGGTTGGGAACCTCTGAGGGTCAAACGTTATTGCTAAAAAAAAAGCCATACTCAATTTTACAAAAAAAAAATAGATAAAGGTTTGTAGAATCCTTTTTGTAAAAATACAGATTTGTACCAAACTCTACACCCATCCTTTTGTAGGTTTGACTGAAGGTCCGTGCTGCTGTAGCCCACTGTTCACTGTTAGGATTAGCCTTTGTCATCTTGACCTGGTGGTTGCATCACTGTCACACTGACCTACAGCCGCAGCCTTGGAGAGAACAGAACCACGGGTACCGCTGTAGGACACGGAGACGGAGAGAAGGGCTGCAGCTCGGTGGGTACGTGAGCAGTTCGTCAGCCTGTGTTTGCGTCAGGTACATTTATTTCAGGAAAGCACGATCTCCAAATGAGCCCTACAAACACACAGGAGCAGCCAGGGTCTTTTTTTTTTTACGACAAAAAGGGGAGAAAAAAGTAGTCTGCCCTCTGGTTTTAGATGCCTCACAATTAAATTGGACTGTGGATATGCGTCGTATTTTAAGCTCCACAGTTGAGGTACAGTAGAACTCCTGGAAGACAGTTTGCCTTTTGCCATGAACAACAGTGATACTCTAAGGGTAGCAGTATTTTGGTCCGTGTTTGTGGACGTCAGCGTGATCGGTTATGTTCCTGTTCTCTCAAAATCCAGCCAAAGACACAGCGCAGCTCCGTAATTACCGTGCTGGAAGGTCAACTGAAAAGATTTTTGATTTGGCGGCCAAGGGAATGGTCACAGTGATGAGAGGTTTTGAACCAAGTCAAAAAAATGTATTGTTCAGGAAATGTTCTCTTTTAACACCCTTGTAAAATATATGCTGTATATTCCAGACTATAAGGTGCGACTTATATATTAAAATATATAATTTCACATGTTTATTTTCACACTGACAGCCACTAGAGGGCACTCTAGGCTTGTGTAGCCACATGACAGCCGCTAGAGGGCGCTCTAGGCGTGTGTAGCAGTATCTGGTACTCCGGTACCACTGAAAATTCACTG